ACAAGTGCCCGATTACTCGAAGTGCTGATCTTTTATACTGTTGAAGATTTTACGAAGATGACCGAATAAACACAGGTCTATGCTACTGTTTTCTTGATGTTTTTCAGTTTAGGAGCAATTTATAACCCTGGGTAATATGACCATCACTTTCATCAGAACTGGGATTCAAAGTACTGATGAGCAGCACACCGCAGAAACAGAAACAACGTTAAAACAAATTTAGTGAGTTCTCAGGTTTTGGTTCATGAGCTGTAATGCGAGTACTCGAGCACTAAAATCACTGTAAAACAATCCGCACAGCACATTGTCTAAATGTGTTGGCAACATTGATTGGACAGCCTTTTGACTGTTAATATGACTTGTAGGAAAAATGTAATGTGCACATACCAACCATGGGAGGGACAGTTCACATTCCAGTTCATGAAATGAATTAAAATATACAGTTTATCAGCACATTAGGGTTTACGAAGTAGTTCCAGCAGAGCTCAGCATTGAACCATAGACTGTAAATATTAATGGATGCACCTGTGTGACGTTACATCTCTGTTCCTGCAGCGGGCGCTGGAGTCCCATCGATGGCGGTCTCCATGCTGGAAATGCTGTCTCAGCCTAACTTTCAGTCAACCTAACGACAGGCTGAGAGCTGGAGCTAAGATTTTTTTTGTCACAACAGCTCAAGAAACAGGAATGTAATTATCAAAAATAACAAGAAGTTAAAAATCAAACATGTACATGTACATGTACACTAGGGATGCAACAATACAGTCAGCCCACGGTTCAATACGTACCTCAGTTTTTTGGTCACGGTTCATGGTTCGGTTCGGCTCTGACGGGCCGGGCCATTAAAATGTTTCCAGTGTTAAGTGTTTTAGGCAAATTTTACAGAACATCAAGGGATTTAGAAAGAGAGCTACTTTTTTTCATTTTAAAACTATTTATTTTACTTTGAAGCAAAACAAATTCAGGTGCTCTCCTTTCAGCCTATTGCAAAGGTCAGATTGGATTTAAACATGAAGTAAACTACAATTAGCTCAATGAATGTCAACAAAAAAGTGCATTGGTGGCATACTGTCCTATTTCTCTTTTAGTTACGATTACCGCTCCTTACGTATTCTTGTAATGTTCAGTATTGTAAATATTTTGAGTATTAACAGCAGCTCAAACGATTTAAGAACACTTCAAAAGACATCAAACCTCACACTGAAGGTTCAGACGTGGTTTATGACCAGTTTAGAGTTTTTAATAAGAGCAGTGAGTGTGATGCGCAGACGCACAGACAGAGGAGCACTCAGTTGATGTTGAAAGACATCAGTTAGTTAACAGACAGCAGCCTGCCATTTAGTTCACATACTTCACTGGTAAACTGTAGAGCAGACCCACAGTTATCTTTTAATGCATGTTTTTGTCATAATGAGGTACGCTACTTGAGCAATGACTGCAGCCTGTATGATCTATAGACTGTCACTGTACCGGCTCTGGCGGCCCTTCAGGCAGCCCGGCCCACCGGGAATTGTCCCGGTCCTCCCGATTAGCCACTCCGGGCCTGGCTCCCCCTCACTGCTCGCTGTGCTAAATGTAGGGTGCATCCGAATTGTCCCCTTTCTATCTCCTTTCACTATCCACTTTACCTTAACCCCGGAAGCAGTTAAGTGGCGGCCATGATAAGAGCCATTCGAATTCTCTAAAAGTTAAGGAAAGGTGGGTCAATGCTTCCTTTATAACCTCCTTTAGCATAGGATACACTGGACCATCCTTTACGAAAGGAGATGAGATATGCCGCCCCACAATTCCTTGCGGCCGCAACATTTAAAGCGACTCGCGCATCCGACCATTCACGAACATTAACGATGATCGTAAAGTGACACAGATCATGTAAGAGATAAAAGATAAGAGACATTTTTATCAGATGATGTTTTATTCAACATATTTCATTCAATTCAGAATGTTTTGTGCATTTCTTCAGTTGTACATTCTTGTCTTGCATACATGTAACAATTAATTTCATATTTATTTTGATGTTGATTTCTGAGTGGACAGGAAGGTGATGGTTTCACTTTTCTTACTTGTAGCCTGGTAGTCTATATTTCTTTTATTTCAATCCCAACCTTTTGAAAATTAGGATTATTTCACCGGTAAGAAGGCACAGAAAGAGTTTTTTAGATGCGTTTTTTGTAGTCCATTTTCGGAACATTGTAGTTTCAATACAGCAGACCCACGTCATTAACCTCCGCCGGCCCGTCGCATTTAATGACGTTGCCTAGTGGAAAATGCGGTCGGATTGTTAGAGCAATGAGATCGTCTTTCCCTAAATCCTTTATGAATTCTCCTAACATCTTTCCATAACCTCATGACGTTTTCGCGGGGTTAAGGTAAAGTGGATAGTGAAAGGAGATAGGAGGGACAATTCGGATGCACCCGTAATGTTGTTGTCAGCGTCACCAAACCTTAGCGCGTGGTGATTGGCTATTAACTCACTTTGCGGCGGGGTTTCCGCATCCCTGCGCGCTGACTCACAGGCACACACAGACAGAGCCAATTTAGAGAGAAATACAATGCACGGAAACTAGTTAAACGCCAAACCGTTAAAACCGCAATTCACAAGTCAGTATTGAACCGTGGATGCCGTACCAAACAGTTCAATATTTTATTGAGAATTGTTGCATGCCTAATGCACACACATACATGCACACACAAACACACACACACGGTCAGTTCGACTTTTCTCCGTTCACTCTCACCGGGTCTGCAGCTAACTTAGCGATAGCAACGTCATAAGTCTGTGAACATCTCCACACAGACTCTGTGAAACAGCGCTGCGTTACAAACACTTTAGATATGCTAGCGGCCGCGAGTTAATTGAACTGATTCTATCGACCTGTTCAGCACTGGATATGGACTAGCTCTGGATATGACAGCAGAACACAATTTCTCAGTTTCCTGATGTGATGACATGATCGAATCTGTGACTTAAATTTGTTATTGATTAAACAAAACATAATGCCTTCTCATTTCAATTTACTGTAACAGATGTGTATAGGACACAAAAACACAATTTGTTATTTTGGCCGGTAAAAAAATATGTTTGGCCGGTGAGTTTTTTCATCTACCTGCCACCTTGGCCGGTGAGTCAAAAAATTTATTTCGGACCCTGAGTGTGTAGCATTATTTATGAGTCATAAGGTGGTGATGCTGTTAAAGAGTCTGAGGCGGGTTTTAAGAATCCTGACAAACCGCTACACCGCGCCCGCCTGTCAATCATGTCAGCTATGCGCCAAGTAACTATGGATAACACTATTTATTCATAAAATGAAAACTAACTTAAAAAATTAAACCCCCGCACAGTGTGTGATGGAGAATAACTAATCAGACCTGTTTTTTTTTAACCAGGCTGTAAACATGTTAATCTCTGCTGTAAAAGCAGGCTTTTTAAAATGGGTGTGTACGGACACTCGAGGAACTGCAGGATTTTGCACTTCCACATGTGCCTAATTTTTCAACACCTGAGGTTTCCGCTTGGTTTTGAACATAACTGTGCCATTTTCTGAATTTGTAGTTTAACTGAACAACTGAGAGAACTAACATGTAGCACATGTTCAGCGTGAAGTGAGGGTTGCATGAAGTAATTAAAATAATTGAGGTTGTGGTCTTTTTTTGTCTGTTCCCTTGTCTGATATTTACATGAAAAAGGCCCCAGCAGCTGGCGCAAATAGCGTAGTATGGAGGCTGTGGTTCTCCAAGGGCCTGGGTTCGGGCTCCACCTAGGGCTCCTCTCCCGGCGCCCCACATGTAAATCCCCACCCTCCTTCTCCGGGTTTCTGACTCTATCCACTCTACTGTCTTTAGAAAAAGGCATAAAATGCCCAAAAATAAACCTTTAAATTAAAGGCTCCAGCAGCACAAACACAGCCCAGAGTTTACATCTTGCAGACAGGAACCAGCTCCCACCTGTCACTCAAAGAGGCCATGCCCCTGCCTTAGTATAATGTAAACAGGTGAGTAGTATAAATATTAGGCCCTTACAGTTGTCATGAAGAGAGAAATGAGCTCTAGAGACCCAAACTGTTTTTGTACCAGACTGTAAACATGTTTATTTTAACATGGAGCTCTATGAGGACTGACTCAATGCAGGAGACAGGCTCTAGTGGACACTGGAGAAACTGCAGCTGTAAAGTTGGACATTTTAACATGGGGCTCTATGAGGACTGACTTACTGCAGGAGACAGACTCTAGTGGACACTGGAGGAACTGCAGCTGTAAAGTTGGACATTTTAACATGGGGCTCTATGAGGACTGACTCACTACAGGAGACAGACTCTAGTGGACACTGGAGGAACTGCAGCTGTAAAGTTGGACATTTTAACATGGGGCTCTATGAGGACTGACTCACTGCAGGAGTCAGACTCTAGTGGACACTGGAGGAACTGCAGCTGTAAAGTTGGACATTTTAACATGGGGCTCTATGGGGACTGACTCACTACAGGAGACAGACTTTAGTGGACACTGGAGGAACTGCAGCTGTAAAGTTGGACATTTTAACATGGGGCTCTATGAGGACTGACTTACTGCAGGAGACAGACTCTAGTGGACACTGGAGGAACTGCAGCTGTAAAGTTGGACATTTTAACATGGGGCTCTATGAGGACTGACTCACTGCAGGAGACAGACTCTAGTGGACACTGGAGGAACTGCAGCTGTAAAGTTGGACATTTTAACATGGGGCTCTATGGGGACTGACTCACTACAGGAGACAGACTCTAGTGGACACTGGAGGAACTGCAGCTGTAAAGTTAGACATTTTAACATGAGGCTCTATGAGAACTGACTCACTGCAGGAGACAGACTCTAGTGGACACTGGAGGAACTGCAGCTGTAAAGTTGGACATTTTAACATGGGGCTCTATGGGGACTAACTCACTGCAGGAGACAGACTCTAGTGGACATGAGAGGAGCTGCAGTTTTCCGGAGGTTGATACTTGAAACAGTGTATCACTCTATAAATACGGCGCTGCCTGTGTTGCTGCCTGTTGCAGCATTTGGTCAGTGTGTTGCTAACTAGAGAGTCAACTTAGAGCTGTGTGCTGATTGGTTGGCTCATCGGCTTGGCTTCTATCCAGCTTGACTTTAAATGCATACAAACACACACCCTCACACACACACACACACACACACACAAGGGTTAACATTTCCCTCAGTTCCTTTCAGAAACACAAATGGGCTCACTAAGCAGGCTTCAAATTTTTGGGGGATGAGGAGAGCAGGGGGGAGGTTGGGGTGTTGACTGACATGATTCCTCCCTCCTCCTTCTCCTTTTCTCCCACAACAACACGCTGAGCGGCAGAGCGAGCGACCAGAGAGCGAGGAAGAGAGAGAGAGGGGCGAGTGGACGGACGAGCAGACAAAGGAGAGGCAGCGCTCGCTCTGCTCTGGATTAACCCTTTGTCCTGACTACAAGCTCTGTTTTCATGGATTTCTCTCTTTTACACGCCCGCCATCATCTCCTCACCGATCCGTGCACACCGCCTTGCTCTCTCTCACATATACACACTGACACACACACACCCACACACACTGTTTTCCCAAAGGATCAACAGCTGGTGTGTGTGACGGCGTCCTGGAGGAGCAGTCGTGGATGGATGGAGGTAGAGGGGAGATCGTGTCGTTTCCTCCCTCCGCTGGCTGAACAGCTTCTCTCCTCTTGCTATCTTTTGTATTAGCGCCCCCTTCTTCCCCCTCTGTCTCCCCCTCTCTCCCATCTCTCCGTCTTCCCTCCCTTCTCTGCTCAGGCTTTTGTCTCTCTGATGAAGGTCCACGCTGGTCTTTTTACCGCCTTCCACAGCCTGGAGACCTCTCTAACCGTCCCATTCGTCATGCTAAAGCTAAAGCTAACGGCAGGAAGGACTGATGCTGAAGCAGCATGCTAGGCTAACAGCTAGCTTCTGGAGTGCTGTGAACACCTTGGCTTGCTGAGTGTCTGTTTGGTGTGTGTGTGTTTTTGTATCCAGTGTGTGTTTGGTGTGTGTGCGAGTTGAAGGGATCTCCCAGCTGACTCTCTCCGCTCGGTGTCCTCTCTTGACTCATCTCTGTGGAGTTCTCGGTCATGTCAACAGGGATGTGACCATGACCGAGTGTGTCAGAGTGAGGACTCTGTGTCTTTATTTCTCATCATGGAGGTTGTTGTTTGTCATCAGCTGATTTATTGACACTTACGCCCCAGGATGGAGATCACGTGACAAATTGTGAACCTGCAGCCTCGGGTCAAACGTCCGACCCAACAAATCTGAAGTTTTTTTTTTTAGAGGAAGAACAGTTTGACTGAGTGTTGTCGATAGATCTGTGGCTGACTGCCTGGCGGCCTGCAGAGGATGAAGAAGACTAGCAGCAGCACGCTGAGGCGTGCCTGGCCCAGCTCGGACCTGATCGAGCGCCTGCTGCCTCCTGCAGCCTCCTCTGAGCCACTCAAGAGCCGACGCTCCCGCAGTGAAAAGGACTACAAAGTCCAAAAACACAGCAAGAGACACCGCTACCCTCCACAGTATGCGTGTCAGAGCCCACCAGCATACACACACCCAGGTACTGTACAACAACACAACAACACACACACAGACAAAACACAGACTAACCAGGTTTAACACAGGCTCCGGTTTATGGAGGTCTGATTGAGAGAAACTGTTAATGATCTGATTGAGATCTCTGACACTCCGCTTTACCAACTTAGTTATCAAAGGGGCCTCACACAAGTGTCTGATCAGTTCATCCATTCAAAGGTTTTACACCTTTAAGAATCAGTTGACAGATTTTTAAAAGATGATTAAATCAGTTCTGAGTTCTTTCTGCGAGTCGGGTGTAAAACATCCTTTTTTTAGGGGTGTGAAACTTCCAGTATCTTAGCCCAAACATTGACTCTCGATTCACAAAACATTCCCTTTTTGTTTTTGTTTTCTTTATTCAGGATCTATTCCAGTCTGCTGTAGGAGCAGCGCCGTTTGTCAGTTGGTTTAGAAAATGTAGATAAAGTTGTACCTAGGTCGTGTGTCAGGGTTAATCTGACGTATCGACCGCAGTGAGTAACCACGTTCAGCACAGGTATGTGGACCTTAACCTTCAAGGAGATCAGAAGGCTCGTGGAAGCTAGTACTGCTAACGTTAGCTACTTAGACTAAATTACATTGTTACCACAGACAGTTTTGAATTCATTGTGCTGAATCGTTTTCTTACCTTTAGATGATTCGGATAGTCTGAATTTTGATTTCCTTTGATCGACAGGGAAATGATTGGCCTAGGAACATCTCACGTCTGCTGTGGGCTAAAGATGATATTTTCTTAATGCTTCACATGCAGGAGCTTGTGTCTTTGTGTTTTTACTGTTCTTATGATTAACAGAAGTGCGACGGGTCAGGGCGACAGTTGTGATTTAACTTATTTGTGACAACTTTTGATAAATATAAAAATAACTGGAAACAAAGAACCACACATCCTTCCTAGTGTGATGATCTGTCTCTGCTTCAAACTAAAGAATAACTTTGAAACACAGCAGCAATGACATTCTCAGAAAGGTTTCAGTATTTTTCTGTCATAAAGATGGCTCGTAAAATTTCCACCAGATGATGCAGGAGGTGAATTAACTTTGAGTGAATGTGAGGGCTGATGACGCACGTAATGAAGGTGCTTCATACACTTATCTGCTTGCCGGTGTGTGTTATTTACGGTGAATATGTCAGTTATAAGTACATGAAATTAAAAAACTGCCATTTTAGTGTCAGACTCTGTTGCCTCGTCTGCCATCTCATATTGCTGCAGTCTTTTTAACATCAAGTCCCGCCGCCTGAGACCCTTCCTCCTCCCATCTAACAGGGAAAAACTGAAAGATGAACTCAGAAAGATGTCAGCGGTGGACTGTCTGAAAATGCCTCTAAACTTTTAGTAGTGAATATGTGAAAACAGTGAGTAGATCTGTACGTCTGGTTGAACTGTGGGAACTTTAAACCCTTATGACAGGCTGTGATTGGCTGAAAGGAAATGTGGGGTCTTAATGGATGCGTTGGGTGAGAAGATGAGGGGGTTGAATGGATGAGTTGGGGTTGTATTAAAGTTCTGAATGGGATATTTTGTATCGTGTGACAGCTGAGCAGCATACCATCAGAGCGTCTTCTGTTCTCATAGTAACCTCAGAGAGACTATGGAATAAAACCAACAGCTCTCAGCAGGACGGACCGGAGCTACAGAGTCTCATTCATCATCATTTAACACAGCTTTAACCTCTGATTGTGTGAGCACTGTTGTGCAAGTCCACACTTAAAACGAGCTAGCTCAAAGTTGAGTCCACAGAGATTAAGATGAGCTAGTTCGTGTTCATAGTTCACAATTCAAAACTTTGATCTGAGTTCGCTGTGTTCAAAATATTAACGAGTTCATTCAGTAGAGCCTCCTGTACTCACATCCCTTTTTGTAGTCATCATTCACTCTGAAGTTGCTTTTATAAATATCTTAAGGACCGAACCTTCACAAGAACGTCCGTGGCGGCTGGTGCATTATTCTCCGGGGAAGGGTTAGGGTTAGGGTTAGGGGTGGTTGTGCATCAGTAGTTATAAATGGCAGTGGGTTGATAACCTTTTTTGGGAAAAAAAACCTGTGAAGATGACAGGTTGGTCAGTTGTCCAATCACATGAGAGGGAAAAACATTTAGGGAGTCTCTGAGGCACAGAAGCCAATCAGAGGGAAGCTTCAGGTCACCTGACTTGCAAACGTTCAATTTTTCTTGGGAGTAGGATGTCGGAGCTGGGAATGACGTCACATTAGTCTACTTTATTGTCTACTTTATTGTTGACATCATATTGGTCTACACACCCGAGTTAACAAATTGGTAACAAGTAGGAAAACAAGATGGACGCCTCCAGGAGAACCTTACCAGTCTATAACACTATGCGATAGTTTCTGCGCCAAAGAAACACAACAACATGTGATTGATTTTATTAAACAGTAACAATAGTAAGTTGCTAGTACACACATAGTGTACAGCTTTTACTTCACTGTTGATGCATGGAGCGGCCATCTTGGATTTTGAACTCTGGTTACTGAAGTTCTAAAATCAAATGGAACGCACCATTATGTTCAATTGTGTTTTGCCTCATAACCAGGAAGTTTCAGTATTGACACTAGAGATTTAAATAATATAGTTAGTATCAGACTGATGACGCAGATCCACGTCACAGATCAAGAAAGATTGTCGCGCACTTAAAACATTCTCGACTTGCACAGTCTCACTTTGAAGACGTTCAGACTGAACTGTAAGAAGTGCCCACAAATAGTCTCCATGACGACGTTCAGACGAGATTGAGCAGCTCCAAAGGTATAATTCTTACACTTCAGTTTAAAAGATTTATTTTATAAAACCTGACAGTTGTTGCTGCTTCCTGTTTTATATTAATTTATACTTTCGGAAATTTGGTTTTACACTCTGATTAATGAACATGAACACACATGCACAAACAGGATCCTATGAATATGCACTAATGGAGAGGTCTCAGAGTGAGTGGGGCTGCCCACAGCGAATGCTCCAGAGCAGTTTTTTGGGGTTCGGTGCCTTGCTCAAGGCAGTGCTCAGGAAGTGGACTGGCACCTCTCCAGCTGGGTTTACTACAGCATTGTGTAGCTTTACAGATAATACCAACAACAACAACAACACTATTAGTTATGATATAAAAGTGAACTGAAAAAAAGACGGTCGGTGCCTCTCTAACTGACACAGAAATAGACTGGCGTTGACAGACTACACATTCGTTTATGAATTTATTATTATTATTATTATAGTATTATTATAATTTTTTTATTAGCCAATTTATTGAACATGTTAAGATAATTCAAACACAAAATAAAAAGTATAAGCAATAAAAAAGAAAACAAAAACGGGACCCTCAGGATCCTTAGCAACAAATAAATAACTCAAATAATATAGTTCATGTTCAAAAGGGATAGGAAGAAGTTCAAAAACTTTTCTGGTCCTACCTTTTCTTATTTCTATGCATTATTCAAAAATAAAAATGTAATTTTTCATCCATCAGCGTAGTAGACGTTCTACTCTTAAGGATTGAAGGGAGCGACGCCCCACATGCCCGGCTCCTGATGTTTATAAGTCTTCACTTCAACAGTTTGTTTTCCATAACTATAGACCGATTCCCGTTTGTGGGCGCTGCCATCTTGTGGTGGCGGCCATTACTGTGGACAGCAGTTCTCATAGTTAGATTAAAAATGTCAGACAGCTTATTTAGATTAGACATATTAGACATCTTTTACAACAATTACCTGATTTCATAACGCAGAAATCAAGAAAAATCAACCAGCCGCCACATAATGTGACGACATCTTGTTTAATGTAACGTTATTCTACAAGCTTCATTATCAACTGCTGCATCTAATCCTCCTTGTGAAATACAATTCTGTAGATTCATGTGTTCAACCCACACTTCATATACGCCGTACTACGCCGTAGTTAGCTTCTACTATGCTCCGTTTCAAATATGATGTGATTCTATTTTACGCTGCAGGCACACGTCAATCCAGAGAGAATAAGACAACCTGGACAGGAAGTCAGACAAGGAAACACACAGAGCGTCCAGTCAATTTCAAAATAAAACACAACTTAAGGACTCATATTCTCCATCACTTTATCAACATGACGTCAAAACAGGCGCCGAATGAACAACAAATCATCCTCAGAAAGACGAAGAAACATGTTGTTTCACGTTGTTAAAGTAACGTATACAATTATTTTTTAAAGTAGACCAATGTTCGCTTTTTAGACCTGCTCGCTTTCAAACCTGCGGCTGCAGAAGGGAGAGGCCGTCGAAGTAATGGCGGCTTGTCAACCTCTGGTTCATCGGTCTATATACATGTGTGTTCAGATGTGTTGTTCGGGGGGCCGGGCTTTTAGAAAACAGTTTTATTTACAGTCAAAAGGAGTGCTTCATTAACATACAGGTGCACAGACGACTGTAAGAAGAGGGAGAGAACTAGATTCAGAATAAAAGCATCATATGGAAACACGTGTGGTCTCATCACATGGTGAACATATCGAGGACTGAAACAGTTAAGTAACGGCAATGAGGTTGACGTTTCCTGTCAGATATTTTAATGCACAGCAGACCTCAGTTTAACGTCCACTGTCACTCTGAAACTCTGACATCACATGTTCAGAGCAGACTGGAGGAGCAGTGTTAGAGCTCAATGATCAGTGTAGAGACAATCAGGACTGTGCACATTCTCAGGCTGTGTGTGTCCGTGTGTCCGTGTGTGTGTGTCCTCCCCATCACTTTGTTTGCTGTATTCAGTATATTACAAATAAGCCGTTTTCACCTATGCACAACATATCAAAGATCATTTCAGGAGGACTGCTCCTGATATTCTCCTGACCTGGTTGTTCACATATGCTCCTCACAGCGGGAGACAATCCCTGTCAGATGGGAGGGGGGGTCACAGTAGAAAAATGTCACTCCCCCTTCTATTGGCTCGAAGTGAATTCTCCGGAGAATATCCTGCTGCGTTCTCACATCAGCTCACTCCTAGGGGTTTGACAG